CTTTCATCTTTCTTTCTTGCTGTCTATTATGGATGAGTTGATGACAAGTGTCATTCACCTAGTCAGGCATTGGCTTGCTGGCTGTTGTTCAGCACACACACACACACAAAAAAAAAAAAAAAAAAAAAAATAAAGCCATATCATAAATAACCCGTGTTGACATTCAGCACATAAAGATGACTACTGACATTTTTATCTATCTAATAAGTTAATGGAGCGCTAAAATCTATCTTGAATTTATTTTTATATTTTCTCTTTATTACTGATAATATCAATCAGCAAATAACTACATATGTGTCTACATCTACATACATATATATATATATATATATATACACACACACACACACACACACACACACACACACATATATATATATATATATATATACACACACACACACACACACACACATTAAGCACACATTTTGAGGATTATTTTCATGTGTGGAGATATATATATCTTTTGAACTTTTCTTTATCCATTAAATATTGTTGGTCTATTTTTTACATTTTTAATATTGAGCACTTTCTTTATAGAAATCTGCTTTAGTGTGTGTGTGTGTGTATGTGTCTGTCCATGCAGATTGTAATGATTATTTCTCCTTTTCATTGTTTTTCACGTCTCTTTATATTCTCTCTTTATTGGTTTTATACCTTTTCCTCTCTCTTTCTATTTTGAGTGTCAGAAACAAATGTAGCAATTCAACATATGCTATTTTTTTCAGACAGTTATTGCTCTTATCAATTCTAAAGCTTCTAAAGCTTTCTTGAGTTTTGAAAATGTAGATGTATTTCATATTTTTTACTTAGATAATTTTTTTTTTATTAATGATTAAATGATAAGGTATTCACTTGAACATAATTTCATTTTTCTTATTTGATTTGGTGGTATCTTAAATATTAGAGTGTTAATTATAGGAGGTTAGGTTTATAATTAAATTTTATTGATTGTTGTTTGAATTTGTACTTACATTCATACATTCAAGTGCATACACATACACAAACACACACACACACACACATATATATATATATATATATATATATATATATATATATACAATTGTAATAGTTCATATCTGATGACCACAAAACTTTAAGTTGCACTGTGAATGTAGGTATATGTATATTAATATATATGTTTTAGTTCTGTCAAACCATATTGAACACTGTTTTGTTTACACCTTATATTAAATTAAGTAAATATTTATTCACTTACCTGTGTATGCACATTAACACATGTATATACAGTTGCTAATATCTAATTATTTGGTTTATATCCACATCTACATTTATACTTATATATATATATATATATATATATATATATATATATATTAGTTTTTTTTAATTAGTATCACCCCATACAAGGCAGTAAATCACTAAGACACAAGGGGGTTACTGGGTGTGGAAGAATTAGGAACAGAAACATTTATAATGAGCGGGAAGAGGAAAGAGTAATCAGGAGGACAGTAGATAGTGATTGATATTGCATTTAAATATTTGAAGATTAAAGTTGGCTGGAAAGCATGGAGCCGGAAGGGAGTTCCACAAGTAAGGGAGTAAAGCCATTAAGACACAAGGGGTTACTGGGTGTGGAAGAATTAGGAACAGAAACATTAATAATGAACGGGAAGAGGAAAGAGTAATCAGGTGGACAGTAGATAGTTATTGACATTGCATTTAAATATTTAAAGATTAAAGTTGGCTGGAAAGCATGAAGCCAGAAGAGAGTTCCACAAATCATGAAGTGTGAGAAAAGAATGTGTTAGCATAGAAGTTAATTGTAAATTGATGTGATCTCGATGCCAGTCTAGAACTGCACTTAAATTCAAAAAGCCTGGGCCCCATAGCAAAGAGATCATCCAAACAATTACCATAAAAGTATTTATAAAAAAGGGACTGAGAGGCAACCTTATGATGGTGGATAATTAACTGAAGCTGGGCCGCCAGATCAGGACCAATATTATTGGTGATTCTTTTATCTTATCAAGGATCACCAGGTAAATAGCAGGGGCAATGGTTCATATGTGGCAGCAATATTCAAAGCATGGGTGAATGGTAGACTTATAGATATGTAAGATAGGCACTGGAGAGAAAAATTGTCTCACATGACATAGTGAACTGACTTTCTTAACAGCTGATCTAGCAGTACATTGAATTTAGTCTTTCCACTGAGCTGAGAAAGTTAACCTGAGGTGTAGCAAGTCACTTTTCTGGCGGTTAGCATCAGCCATGCTGATGGAAGGCAGCAAGGGCTCTCTCAGATGATTAATAGAGGGAAGTTTAATTTTTGGAGGTGTTCAAAATTAACAAGCCATCTTTTTGCCCCAGTTAACAATGGACTTAAGGTCATTTTGGATATCAGCTGTCATTTTGACTGATGAGCCTTACTATTGAGGCAGAAGTAAGTATAGATGTCAAGTTGAAAGCTGATGTCATTGGAAAGGTCATTAATGAAAATTACATTAAAGACTGAGTAGGGCCAAGGATGGAGCTCTGGAGTACACCTGTATTAATACAAAAGGATCGAAACAAGTGGCTGTTCAGGATAACTTTAATTTCATGATTTGATTGGAAAGACTGGATCAGTCCAAAAAAAGTATCCAGAGACATCGTAACTTTTCAGCTTGTGAAGAAGACCTCTATGCCAGACCCTGTTAAAGTAAAGGCTTTTGAGATGTCCAATGCTACAGCCTGGGCTTCACTGTGTTTTTTGGTTTTTTTCTTTCTTACAGTAAGTTTCACCCTTTACAAGGCCTGAGGGCCACTTAAGGCAGAGGGTACATTACAAGGCCATTTGTGTGTTCAGGAGTGGAATATAGCAGTTAACTCTAGCATTGAACAGGTTAAAGTTGTAGCGATCAGGAAAATATCCTGATGGGAGTTGGTTCCACAGGGCAGTGGTTTGTAGCAAAAGCTGTTCCAGTGAAAATTACTTTTTACCAATGAAATACAGAGGGAATCTAGAGCATGATAGACTCTTTCCACAATTATCATCAGTACATCAGCAGTTGACCTGGAGAAACAAAAGCCATATTGCTTGTCTGGAAAAAGGCCATGCAATGAGATATGATGAACAAATTTGGCAATGATTAAGGCCTCTAGGAGTTTCCCAAAAAGACATAGAAGGGTAATAGGCTGACAGTCGGAAGAGTCAGATGGTTCACCTGAGTTTTTAAAAACTAGAATAATAGTACAAATGCAAGCACCTGTGCCCCTATATTAATATATTGATTAATGCTTAAATGGTAAAGTTTGTTTTTTTTTAATCTGGCTTGGTGGTATTTCAAATGTTAGGGAATTAATTATGCGCAGTTACATTTAAAGAGTATGTTTTTTTTGGTGTTTGAATATATGTATGTAAGGTATATAATATATATATATATATATATATGTCCAAATAAAGAGAAAGAAAAAACAGATTTAGAATCCACAGTTCTTTAGCATACTACTTTTTTAAAAAAATGTGCTCATTACAACATAGAACATAATATTTTTAATGATATTTTAATTTAAAAATAATTTACATTGCGACACAGAAATTTCTATGTTTTGGGATTTCAATTTTTGCTATCCCGTCATCAGGCAATGTTCGGTAACTTTTAATGAAAATGATTTACTTTTGAAAAGTAATGTTCAGTAACTTTTGATGAAATGATTTACTTTTGAAAGGCAATGTTCGGTAACTTTTGATGAAAATGATTTACTTTTGAAAGGCAATGTTCGGTAACTTTTGATCAAAATGATTTACTTTTCAAAACAATGTTCGGTAACTTTTGATGAAAATGATTTACTTTTGAAAGGCAATATTCGGTAACTTTTGATCAAAATGATTTGCTTTTGAAGACAGAAAACAATACGTTTGCTTATTAAAGAGTTAAGTAGGGGGGATCCAGATTTTAAAATCTTATGGGTATGTCTCTTTTGACTAATCAAAAGATAGGTTAGATGTTGGTGGGGATATTCATACAGGTCTTGGGGAGCTATCATATTAAGACACAATACGTCTGGTTAAGAATATACATGTATGAATACCCCCAACATCTAACCTATATTTTTAACTTTTCTTACCTTTGACCTGTCTTTTGATTAGTCAAAAGAGACAAATTGTCTCTATCTTACTCACAATCTATCTTACACATTTATAATTCTATCATTTGTCCAAACATTGAATATTGCTGCCACATCTGGTATAGAACTTCTGCTTATGCATTTAGAGATTCTTTTATAAAATCCAAAGAAGAATTTGCAATATTATTGGTCCTAACCTGGCATCTCGGCTTCAGTCACTTTCCCAATGTTGCAACACAGCTTCCCTGAGACTGTTCTATAAATATTTTCATGGTAATTATTCTGATGAACTTTCCACTATCGTACCTAGACTTTACAAATTTAAGCACAGTACTAGATTGGTAGCAAGGTCTCATCATTTTACAGTTGAAATGGTTAGATATAATTCTAAGTTCAATGCTAACAGTTTCTTCTATCACACTTCTCGCTTGTGGAACTCTCTTCTGGCTTCTTGTTTTTCAGTCAGTTTTGATCTTCAAAAATTCAAATGTAAAAAGCAATTCTTAATTTCTGTTCTTTTATTGTTCTCTTCTTTTAATAATGTTTTTTTTCTTATATTCTTTCACACTTAGTAACTCCTTGTGCCTTAGTGGCTTTATTGCTTTACTTCTAATTCAATTAGGCCTGCACTTGTATTATGTCCACAGCAGTAGTTTAATCTTTGTGTCTTTGATTAAGGCACTCTGCATACTGTCTACACTTGTCTGATGAGACACTGATTTTTTTTTTTCAAAAGTCTTTTTGAACTTGGATCTTTATCTTTGCTGTTCTGGTCAGTACCCTCTTCAGTCTTTCTTGTGTTATCTGCAAAATAAAAATGCTAAGTTCTCTTCAGTCTTGCAATGAAATAATGCAAACTCTTGCTCTGACATTTGTCTTTTAGGTAAATCTAATATCATCATTTTCCTTTCCAGCACCAAGCAATGTGTCGGCATGGAGAAGCTTGGAAGGATAGCCTCAGATACAGACGGCCTGACTTGGAGAGAATGTCAGGCTTGCGCCGCATCACTCTTAACAACAATCCCTTGATTGGAGATCATGGGGCCCTAGTTTTAGCTGAAGCACTCCGCGATGATCTATGGCTTAAAGGTAACTTTAAATCCCGACATATTTCTTTTTTATGCAGTGTTTTTTTTTTCTAAATAGGTATCTGTATTTCCTTTTTTTTTTTTTTTCATACTTGATAATAGTTTATTCATTTTGCATATCATTGGGGTCTACTATTCCTAGATATTCCTTTAAACACAGCACGTTATTTAAAAAAAGAAATGACTTGTGAAAAGCTTAAGTAGATCCCTTTCCATAGCATGAATGCAAACTCCATTGGACAATCAGCCTAATGAGCCACATAAAAAAACTTATCATCCGAATTCTGATGAATAGACCACACAGCAGAATCAGACCGGAGGTAGGACAAGAACAGTGTGTTTTTTTTAAAACAAGGAATGTGGTATTTATTCTCAGAATGATATCAAAAAGCAAAATACAAATGCAAAAGGATGTATATCTATGTTTTATAGATTATGCAAAAGTGTTTGATAAAGGCGGTTACAAAATACTGTTGAAACTGCTAGGTAACCTTAACACATTTGGGAAGGATATTAGAATAACCCAGAACCTATACTGGCAACAAACTGCCTATATACAGATAGGAAATGAGTTCAGCAGATATACTAAAATAGAAAGTGGTGTAAGACAAGGATGCATCTTCTCACCAGACTTATTCAGTCAATACAGTGAGGTGATTTTGAGAGAATTAGAAGTCTTACCAGAATTCATTATTGGCAGGCAACAATTTAAAGAACATAAGATATGCAGATAACACAGTCTTGATAGCAGACATGGAAAGAAAACTACAAGAACTCCTATATAAGGTAGTAAAAGAAAGGAACAAAGGACTAAATATAGAATATATAATGCATGGTTGCTAGCAAAAGGGAAAGCCTAAGATGCAAATTACAAATTGGAGATACCAAAATCAAACAAGTAAAACAATTTAAATCTCTGGGAAGTGTTTTAACAGAGGATGGAACATGCAACTATGAAACCCGAAGGCGCATTAGGATAGCAAAAGATACCTTCCAAAAGCTAAGCAAAGTATTAAGAAACAGGAAATTTTTTTTAGAAACAAAGTAAAAATTACTGAACTGTTACATAATATCATTCCTCTGGGATGGTAGTGAATGCTGGATCATATCCTTCTAGATGAAGGAGATACTGGATCATATCCTCCTAGATGAAAGAGATACTTGAAGCAACAGTAGTTTGACAGAAGGATGCTGAGAATACAATAGACTGCACATGTGAGAAATGACAAAGTTTTAGAGAAAATGGAAACAAAAATGACTTTTATCCTTATCATCTGAAAGAGACAGTTAAAATTTCTAGGAAACATAATAAAGAAAGAGGGCTTGGAAAATTTGATACTCACAGGACATATTGAAAGTGAGAGGGATAGAGGAAAACAAAACATAACCTACCTAGAAAGCTTGAGTAAATGAATGTCAGAGCAGGGTTCAGGAGAAACAGAAGATAAAATTTATTAAGAGCTATAAAAGACAGGAAATTGTGGAGAGCTATGATCACCAATGTTCTCAGTAGTTGAGTTCTTTAATATTACAAACATTATCAGAATCTGTTTATTGGTTGGTGGCATCTTTGGTGATTGTTTCATAGAAGATCCTTAAAAATAATTGTTAAAACAGGATCTTGCTCTATCAACCAAGTGACAGCACTTCACCAAGCAACAGAAAAATGTTCCCTGAGGGGAAATTTAAAAAAAAATTAAATACTTCTTAACGGTTAAATCCACTTTGGCAGGAAGAGAAATAAGCTACTGCCACTGCTTAGAAGACATCCCTTAAGCTGAGGAGTGGGAGCTTTCTTAGAATTGGAAGACTCCTCCCACAGACTCTTGTAGATTTGGAATATTTAATGACATGTATTTTTAGAATGGATTTTTTTTTTATTATTCTGATATATTTTTATCACTTTAAACGTTATTTTTAGTGTAAACTCATATTTGAATAAGGTGATTTATTTACTTATTAAACAGAAGATTTATTTATTTTTTGCCTATTGTCTTACAAGATACAGGTTCAAATCCTGCCAAAGAAAGCAGGTTTTTCTTTAATAAGATTTCTTGAACATTCAAGTAGGCAAAAATAAATAAATATCCTGTTTAATAAATATATGGAGCATCTACTCAAATGTGAGTATCCACTAAAAATAATGTTTAGAGTATTAAAAATGACATGTATGTAAAATTTCAGTTAAAGTTACTTGAGCAAAACTGAAAAACATATTGGCCAGACTGTTGTGATAAAAACAACAAAAATAAGGATACCAGTCTAATATGATCATTATTATTATTTCCCTCTGAATTTCAGTTCTTATTCCAAACATTTTTAAGCTTCAAACATTGTTTTTCAATTTCAGCTCTTGACCTGCAAGGCTGTGGAATCTCAAAAGTGGGTGCCAAAGCTTTTAGTGATATGTTATCATATAACACGACTTTAGTCGTCTTAGATGTTCGAGCTAATCCCATGATTGGTAAGTCAGTCTATTTCATATTTTAATCATCTATAAACTGTTTTTCTATATATACAGTAAATCTAAAATCTAAAGCTGCCCAATATAATGGATTTCAGTCTATTTTGTATTTTACTCATTATGACAGATCTGTTATTTTTAGTTCTGAAGTCATTAATAATGAAAATTGGATTTGATCTTTTTTTTCTAATCATCAGTATTTTTTGAAATGAAGTCTAAATTAAATCTTATTTCAGAGAACATAGGTTAACATGATATATTTTAGGTAAGGTGTATACAGATTTAAATCATCCTTGTTTCCTTTGTATTCCAAATGGAGCCTTTTCCCAAGAACTGATACTTTGTAGGACAGAATCCCACGTGGATGCTCTCTGGAACATTACAGTCTTAATTGAAGAGATTAAGATTGTAGTGTTCCAGGGAGTCAAGGGTCAATTGATATTAATCTTCCTTAAATATATTTGTTCTGGGTATGCTAATAAACTACATCTGGTAGCAAGAGTGGGGGGAGCATGGAACCACCTTTTATTTGCTGTTGTTCCCAGGTTCACCCTGACCCAGGGTGGTAGCAGCTTTTGTAATATAAAAATACATTAGAAAACTTGCCAGCAATACATTTTCATAATAAAAAAATAAAAAACTTCAGCAATACACTATTGGAAAAAAAAAAAAATTTCAGATCAATATATTCAGTGTTAATAGGCTTACCCTAATAAACACACATTATTTTCTATTAAATTGAGGATTTACTGTTTTTTGGGGTTTTTTTTGTCTAATTATTATTTCTTTTTGAGATTTACTATTTTTTTTATTTCAATTTTATACATTATATATCTTTATGATACAAAGTAGTTGTTGGGAAAATCTAAAACAGAACATTTTCCAAGTAAATCAAAGATGTAATTGTTTCTCTAAAATTGTGATATGACAGGTTGGGTTAATTAAATGTGATTTTATAATAGGAATGCATTGGAAAAGAGAAAGAAAGAGATTGTCAGTGGTCAGGAATGAATGCAAGCATTACTGATAGAATAGGGCTATTATATGTATAATGGAAATGCATTGCTAATGATTTTACTATAGGAATGCATTGCAAATGAGGAAGAAAGGGATTGTCAGTGGTCAGGAATGAATGCAGGCATTACTGATAGAATAGGGATATTATATGTATAATGGAAATGCATTGCTAATGATTTTACTATAGGAATGCATTGCAAATAGTGAAGAAAGGGATTGTCAGTGGTCAGGAATGAATGCAAGCATTACTGATAGAATAGGGCTATTATATGTATAATGGAAATGCATTGCTAATGATTTTACTATAGGAATGCATTGCAAATAGTGAAGAAAGGGATTGTCAGTGTTCAGGAATGAATGCAAGTTACTGATTGAATAGGGCTAATATGATAATGGAAATGCATTGCTAATGCTATTGCATTGCTGAGGAAGAAAGGGATTGTCAAGGAATGAATGCAAGCATTACTGATAGAATAGGGATATTATATGTATAATGGAAATGCATTGCTAATGATTTTACTATAGGAATGCATTGCAAATGAGGAAGAAAGGGATTGTCAGTGGTCAGGAATGAATGCAAGCATTACTGATAGAATAAGGCTATTATATGTATAATGGAAATTCATTGCTAATGATTTTACTATAGGAATGCATTGCAAATGTGGAAGAAAGGGATTGTCTGTGGTCAGGAATGAATACAAGTATTGCTGATAGAATAGAGTTATAATGTAAATTCATTGTAAATGTTGAAGTAAGTTATTGTCTCTTCAAGCATGCTAAATATAGATTTCTGATTTGTTGCCAAATTACATCATCTGTTCAACCAAATACTTTCCAGACTGTGGAAACATGAGTGAAATTTGAAACCGTGTTTAACATGAATTAATTTATTTTCAAAATGATTTTTTTTTACTTTTTTTTTCTGTTGTAGATCGATCAATTATTCATAGCATTATAGAACAAGTAATGCTGAATTCAAAAGCCATTGACACAGAAAACTCAGAACCCCAAGTGAGTGAAACCTTCTTGTTTACACTTGGCTTTCCTTATATTTCTACTTCAAGTTTTTGTGAAGATTTCTTAACAAAAAGATTTTAATTTGTTTTTTTTAACTTTTAACAATTTTTCTTTTATTTTCCCAAGTATTTTCAATCTTATCCAATATCATCTTCAGAAGAAAAATATTGCAGGTTGAGTATTTTTAAAACATTAATAATAAAAAAAATTAAATTGAGTTACCTTCCTTACATATTCTTAATGTAAATTCACTATAATGGAATGGAATATGTTTCGTGCACATTTACAAAAAAATTCACAACTATCAATTACATTAATTTTTTTTTCTTAGCAATTTACTCCTAAATATGATCTTGGATAATAATGAAAGTACTTGGGAAAATAAAAGAAATAACTAAAACTACGACATCTTTCTTAATCAGTTTTGTAACAGCATTAAGAAATTGATCCATGAATTTGAATGGATTAAAAGAAAAATAAATAGACATGTCTAAATGATTCAACCAAACATGCTTGTATATATATATATATATATATATATATATATATATATATATATATAAATCAGGCTTTTGGTTGTTATTGTTTTCTATTAAGTAAGTCTCTTATTGTTTTAGAAGTAATTGTAACAAATTTTATTTTGAGTTTATATAAATGTTTTCAAGTGAAGTCGTGATAGAGTCGGTAGCTAGTATAATATATATGATTTTTGTTCATTAGTTGGGAAATATATTTTGTATATGTGTTTCTCAAGTGAAAGAGGTTTTATTGGTGTCAGATCATTTGTTTTTTATGCTTAAGTCTTCTTAGATTGATAATCATTTTTTGTTTATTTTTATAGTTTATGTCGTATCATATATTTGTGTTTAACTCACAAAGAAAACCCAAGGCATGCACATTAACACATAAACATTAAAATAAAACTATTTGATAATGGCTTATCAAAGCTAAAAGTAGTTTGAACACATTTGACAATTTATGTTCAAATTTTCCCTGGAAACTGTAAAAATGGTTCATTCTACAGAAAAATTACATAAATACATTTGAAAGGAAAAACTTCCAATCATCTTCAACCAAAACTATATATATATATATTGTTAAGGGATCCACCCCTTTTTTATACAAGTGGACTCACCCAGTGTGTACTTGTACTGCTGCTGGTGAATACCTGGAAGTGAGAGAGTTGAGAGTGTGAGGTAACCGCTTTGTAGGAGTCACAGTTGTGAGCACGTAGACTCAGAAGGAAGTCCTACATTCGATACTGATTTTCCCAGACTGTATATATATTATTATTGCTACTATCCGCATTTCTAGATCTACTAACCGTATTACCAATTGTATTATTACATCAATACATTTATTTGCTATATTTCATTCCTGCGTTTGTCATTCATTTGAGACCGGATTTCATCCCAGAATCCACAACATATTTTGATGAAGGTCACGAGACCGGAAATGCGTATAGCAAAATTATGGAAAATAAAGCATAATATATATTTTTTTTTAAAAATCCACATTACAACCAAAAACGTTTTTGGTTTCTCTCTTCTTTTTAATATACACACTTTTCTCTCTTTGGAACTACTATAACCTCTTCCCTTTATATATATATATATATATATATATATATATATATATATATATAATTTTCTCAATAACTTTTCCTGTGTACAATGACTGATTGCTACTAATAGTTTTATGCATTTGCATGCAATCATTGGGCACCAGAAAAAAAAAACAAAATCATATACATGGCTAGAAAGTGCCTGATAACATGAGAAACAATAGGACTACAGCAAAATGTTAAAAGCCAAATAGTGTGTGTGGGGAGAAATAGATAAGTATGAAATTAACTTACTGACCAATGCTACAGAACTTGGTTTCATCCTCACTAGGTGTATCATTCTCGTGACCTTGTGCCAGACTTGTCTGAACTTAATGAATATCTACCAAAAGTACATTATCCTCATATTGAATTTGTTTGGTGATTTGATTCATCAATTACCCATCCATACATTGGCAGTCACTGATGCGTTTCTTTTCGCTTCAGGTAACCTTGAACTCTTCGTCATATCTGTGGACACTCAGTGATGAACGAGAGGACGGTTGATTTGTTCGTTTGGTAAATGTTTGCCAGTCACGATGCTATTGCTTATCATGCAGAATGAAAAGCGTGATAGCTTTGGCGAAGGAAGCTTCATATTACCAGATTCTATTGATATTGGCTACTTTTAGGGTAAAAGAACAATGCTTTATTGCAAATCTCTTTTGTGTCTGTTGAAATATTTATGGAGTATTGAAGGCAAAGCAGGTCTGAAATCTATTTCCATTACAACTCATATATACATCAAATAAATAGGTCACTGTAAGAGTTTTACACATATATATATATATATATATATATATATATATATATATTACAATGAATCATTCATACAAAAAGTAGATTAGTAAAGTCAATTATATAAAATGGTGAAATCCTTTTGCAAACAAAATTTTAAAGGTGCATTAACCTACAAATCACTCAATGAATGTTATGATCCTTGTTTTTAAAATTATAAACTGTATGAGGTCTTTCGCAAGTACTTTCAACTGTACATTCAGTCATCCTCAGGCATGGAAATTTTTTTTTTTTTTTTTTGTAAAATTCAGGTAGCATCCAAGACAAAAAAATTAAATGTGAATCGAAATATGTTTCTTTTTTTTAAATGTGTCATTGTTAACGGATACAAACTTTTGGAGCATGCATTCGCAACACTAAAGTTGATTTAAAGAAGATTCATACTTTTCCCAAGGGTGTTTGTGCATAAAGGAATATAAGGAACCCAGCTGGAATTGGAACTCTGATTCACTGATTTAAAATTCTGAGCTGTTACCAATTACACCACCTGCACACTGAAGCTAACAGCACCAGGAATTCCCAAGCAGTCACCCATCTAGGTACTGACCAGGCTTGACATTACTTAAATTTGGTGATCATATGAGAACTGGTGTTTCAGCCTGATGTGGGTGTAACCTATATATATATATATATATAGTATATATAAATAGCTGAGAAAAAAAAAACAACACTTGTGGCCTGATGTTTCTAGCATGATACAGTCTGTTGCCTCTCTCTCTATATATATAGTTTGCATGTATGTATTATATACATGTTTTATATATCTATATCTATCATTTTCTCTGATATATATAATAAATGCGAATATCACTGTGCCACACTTTTTCAATTAAAGGGACACAACTCTTTAACTTTCAATAGCTCTCATGTTACAGAAATTTTGGATTCCCAAGTTTTCATTACTGCAATTGTTTTCAGCAAATTTTATTCTGCAATAACAATTTTTATAACTGAAATAAATTTGGAAATAATCAAAATTAATTACTAGGAGCAGCAAAAGTCACCTATGAAGTAGAAATAATTGTTTATTTGGAAAGTAAGGACCTTTGTGCTTCAAATCGTCTTTAAATTAAGTGGCAGCAGAAGAATTATCATTGAACTTTTAAAAGGTAAGCTTAAATATTAATGCAATACTTAAATGCAGTGATCAATTTTGATTGATTATCTTTACTTTAATAAATAAACAAATAAACGACTTCCATCAAAATAACCACCAAAATAGACTACCCACAATGCACCACTGACCAGTATATATAAATAGCTGAGAAAAAAAACAACACTTGTGGCCTGATGATTGTGTCTAACATGAAACAGCCTGTCGCCTCTAAGTGTTGACTTCAATGTTCACTTTTATATATATATATATTCAAGCATATATTGTCAAATATAACAGATAACAAATGCCTATTATGTTTTATCATGAGCCATTCTAAGCTTTGTATAGTGACTTTAGTTTCGGGAGAAAATAAAGTCAAAAACTGTCCAACATTTGGATATTTTTTATCATGCTGTTCCCCAATTTAAGCTTTCAGCTTACATGAGCCATCATCAGAGTGGTTATATGGATGATGTCATCTTTGATGGTGAACATCTCTGCTGTTATGTCCCCGGACTTATATATTGGATTGACAGGGGGAAGGGGGAACATTGATCAAGACTGAATAATAATGCTACCCAGCAACAAAAAAGAGATAAAGTTCAAACTGCTGCACTGGTTGCCAAGCAACCCAAACACCTTATTTTGCTTTTCTTCTATTTTGGCTTTCAAAAATTAATTATACCATGCGTATGTGTATATGTGTGTATAAATATGTGTGTAAGATATAAACGAAAGTTTTTATTAACAAATCAAACAAAAATTAAAATTAATATTACTCAACAGATGAGCCACCATTTGTAAATGTAGATTTGTAATTTTTCATGAAAACTTCAAATAACGTTTTGACACATTTTCGGTGTTATTGAACCTGACTCTGATTAAAATTCTTTAACTCCTAAAATGTATTGTGTTCCCTATTGTAAACCACATTCTAGAATCTAAAAGTGTAAGACTTTTACTGCTCAATTCAGTGGTCACGTTCTCTCAAGTCATTAGTTATATATTTTCCTGAGTACAGATCAGTAATATTGCAGGTGTTGATGACGAAAGAAAGATTTGTTTTTTTGCAAAAGCTTTCTGAAGAGTTATGTAGAAAGCAATGGCCGAACATGTTCAAGTCATTTTCACTTGTAATGTTTCCATCAATGAAGAAATTCCCTTAAACACTTGACGATGATGATAACAATTTTTAGACATTTATTATTTTCCTTATTGTTTCATTTGTTAATAAAACAATTTTTTACCCCATGTTTGTTTTCAAATATGGTAGTTATTTTATTTACGCACACACACACATGCATATATATAATTACACATATACCTACATCTACAGTATGACTCAGTTTCATGGTTTTCCCATTCATCAGCTTGTCCTGGGTATGATGATAAACTACATCTGCAGCCTGAGTATGACGATAAACTACATCCGCTTCCTGGGTATGGCGATAAACTACATCTGCATCCTGGGTATGACGATAAACTACACCCACGTCCTGGGTAAGACAATAAACTACGTCCAACAGCAAGGCCTCTGATCAGGAGGTTTTGAGGAGCATGGAACCACCTCTTAAATGCTGGTGTTTTGCAGGTGCACCTTGACCCGGGGTGGTAGCACCTGTTAGGGTCCCAGCTATGGGTAAATAGTTAACCCCGAAACTGAGGTAAAAAGGATTATAAAGAGTAAAAATAGGTTTTAATACCAGAAATACTTTGCAAAAAATTATTACCAGAAATAAATATTTCAAGACAAAAAACTATTAACAGCAATATGTTTTTGAAAAAAAAATATTACCAGCAATTGTTTTTGAAAATAATATTACCAGCTATACATTTTTGAGGAAAAAGAAATATTAGCAGAAATAGATTTTTGACAAAACAAAATATTACCAAGAAAAAAAGTTGTTGGCATTAAATAACCCATTGAGGTTGATATGCCATAAAAAAAAATAAACAAAACATTCATCAGGTACAAAAATTTATGAACTGTTCAATATGGTTGTTTTTTTTTGTTTTGTTTTTACATTTCTGGGTTTCATGCAAGCAACGCTACATTGTGTGTGGATCCAAAGTTCAAATATAATATAGCATTGAGGTATAAATTCAAAATGTAGTTTTGGTAGATGGATATTGAAAAATAAATTAAATTATTGATAGTAAGTTTAATAGGGATATTGATCCATTAATGAGTCAGCAGATAAGATCAATACTAACTTAAAATGTTGATAGTTATCAAATAAAAAGTGTGGGTAGGCAAAAAAGAATTTAAGGTCAGGAAAAGTAAAAAATATAAACAAAAATAAAAAAGGATCACACAGCTATATATATATATATATATATATATATATATTTTTTGAACAATAAGAAATTAAAAAAATTAAAATCTTTAGACACACTGGGTTGTAGATTAATATTCTTTCGTTTTTTTATTATTATTCCATTTAGATTCCTCGACTAGTTTCGACCGAAATGGCCATCATCGGGAGGAGAAATATTTCTGCTTCCTGGTAGCACTAAACTACAGAAATGAATGTCTTTTGCTGGAGAAAATGAACTTTTGTCTGTAGTTTTCATTTGTTTTTTTATTTTTTTATCTTTTTAACATGAATCTTTTAACATTCCTTGTGTTGGTCAAACAGTCTCTTTTAAGTTGTTATTTGAGATAAGAGCTGGATAGATACATGTTACTCTGAATTCTCTGGTCAGTGTGACAGTTTTATTGGACCTGGTGAGGGGATGTGTCTCTGTTTAGTGTTTGTGTGTGTGTTATTTGGTTCTTAGGGAGTGAGTGAGTATGATATGTGTAAGCGTGTGTATTGCTGTAGGTGTGTGTTATCATTTGGCTCATTAGGGAGTGAGTGAGTATGATGTGTGTAAGTGTGTATATTCGTGTGGGTGAGTGTATAAGTGTGAGGCCTCCACACCTCCGTAAGCATGTCTGTCTTGTGTGGGTGAGAAATGTGGGTATGTTTTGATTTGTTGACTTATATATTGTTACTATCTATATATTGTTAAATTTATGATTTAGCCAGTTGGGTATTTTGTTTTTTAGACGTTGTATCCACTTATTTTCATGGGACTCTAAAATCTTTCTAATGTTATCTGCTCTGAACTTTTCTATTCTCTCAATTATAGTGAATTTGGCATGGGTTTTGAAATCATGTTTTCCAGGCGGAAATGTTGTTCTACAGGTAATAATTGTTCATGGGGAGTCGACTTAATTAAGCTTTATAATTATTAATTCTGTAGTGAAAGGGCCATTCAGATTTTCCTACATATTGTTTCTGGCATAGTGTGCATTCTAGGAGGTAAATTATGTTATGACTTCTACAGTTAGAATCATGGTAGATTTTGAAAGTATATATATATATAATATATAAACACAATTTTATGTTCTTTTTTTTCTTTTTTCTTTTTTTTTGACCGACTCGTTTTCCATTTTGCATACAGGTAGATCAAAACACCATTTATTAATTTTGGAAGCTTTATGCTTAAAATTATTCCAAACTGTCCTATGCAATCAGAAGGAGAATTTTTTAAGATCCTTGAATTTATTCGGAGATATGTGAGCTTTATTTTTTCCTTTTTATGCTCCACTGGATCAAAAAAATTTTTTTCTTTATTTACATATTTTAATCATAAATTTATTTGTTTTTTTCTTAATTTTATGTATTTCATAATTTTAAGCATGTTCCAGTACTATCTCTTATCAGTCCAAATTAGTTAAAAGTTGCCAACGATTTGTCCCTGATGTTGCGTTGGCCGAAAGGCAGCCTTGGTCCAGATATTAAAAAAAAAAAAAAAAAAAAAAACAATGGACATAAAATTATGTTTATTTAAATCAATATTCCTGTTCTGTGGTATCAGATCTTTGTTTCAATATATATATATATATATATATATTGTATTAATTGATACCCTTTTGTTTGTCCTTGTTTTATTAACCAACCTGTCTATTATGTCACCAATCAATGCCATTTCATATTTAATAACAAATTTACAAACAAAAATTTGGATTTCCAGTGGGATCACCTCTCAGTGGAGCAATGGCATGTATCTTACAATTTCTTGAATCTGGTTCTTTCCAATGTGTGGGTGGGTGTATAATTCAAATGAGTTCTAGTAATATAAAAATATTAGAATTGATCCACAAAAAGAGAGCTTGATGTATTTTATTTGTACAGTAGAATATCATGAATAATCAGAAAAAAATTCTTTTTATGTCATGTAGGGAATAAGATATTTCAGCAGAGGATACAAGTGGTCATCTGTCTTTTCAACCCTGGTTTTTTAATATTGGGGTTGAGAAGACAGATGACCACTTGTATCATCTGCTGAAATAGCCTATTCCCCACACATGACATAAAAAGAATTTTTTTCTGATTATTCATATATATATATATATATATATATATATATATATATATATATATATACATACATGTTTACTTTCATACCCTAACATAAAATCAGTAATTTGTAAGTAAGGGGATGTATTTTTTTTTATTTACTAAT